TACATAAAACCATAGAACTCAACGAGGGTGTACTTTTTCACACGACTGTAAATTGCACTCAGTGCCGTTTCCAAGTGAACCATTTTTCATATTACTGAAAGATCAATAATAACAATTCTCAGGGAAGCAACAGCACAACAATTATATCGTACTTACTAGGAGTCATACCTGCAGATGGTCTCTAAAGTCAAACAAGAACAAATTCAGGAGATCCAATCCACTATATCTCAGCCCTTGAGTTAATTTTTTGTTTTCAAATTTCAAATGCACCAACCAATAAAAGTACTAGAGGATAATGCAATGTTTAATCAGCTTTATCCAAAGCACCTATTATTTTTGGAGGATGAGAAAGCAGAAGAAAAGAATTTATATATTCTAATGTTTTTAAAATATCTAATATTTATAAGTTGCTCCCTCAGAATAGTGGTTCACCTGAGAGTGGCAGAAGAGAGAATGTTAGAGAATGTTGGAAGTTTAAGGAAATGAAAATGAGAGAATTGCTGTTTGAATGAAGACAAATGTGACAGATGATCTGAGAATGAGATCATGAGCTGGGCAATAAAATGCAAGAAATTTTGGACTGGTGAAACCAGAAAACATTACACAGAAATTAGCACCTATCTGCCAGAAAGCTGCTACATAGGAGGCCGCATCACTGGAGAACAGTAATATATCTGGCAGTGGGAGGTATCTATGTGGATGGTGCCCCCACCATGGACAACTGCTTGAGGAAGAAGAGTTGCTGCTGCCATTAACATCAGAGATGAGATGCAGAAAGCAGCAGCTGGGGTTCATGTATTTGAAATATACGTAGTCCTCACTTAACATCCACTCTTTCAGCAACCATTCAGGACTTACAATGGGTCCTCATAGTTGCAGCCATCACAGCGTCCCCACAGTCAAGTGATCATGATTCAGGCACTTGGCACCAGTGCGCAATTACAAAGTTGCAGTGTCCTGCAGTCACATGATCACCATTTGTGATCTTCACTGCCAGCTTTCAACAAGCAAAGTCAATGGGAAAGCCAGCAGGAGGTCGCAAATGATGATCACATGACCACAGGACACTGCGATTGTTTGGGATTCGCCTAATGACAGTAACTGGGACTGCCAGAACTGCCACTGTAAATTGGTACAGTCACATGATGTTGCACCTTACTAACGCGTCACTTAGCAACAGAATTCCCAGTACCAGTTCTGTGGGTAAGCGAGGACTACCTGTAGTAGGGCCTTTGATGGCTGGAGGAAGATATGACAGGAGGCTCTGGGTAGGAAGCTGTATAAGAAGGGAGACTCTCAATTAATTAATTAATTGAATTTATATAGCTGCTCATCTCACTTGCATGTAAGTACAGGTCCCTCCTCCTAAATCAGTTGCCCCTGCCCTGGGCCCAAGTAACTGAATTGGTTTCTGGCTCCTGTTGGTAAATGCCAGGTCTATGTGCGATAATACTCTGTCTGCTCATAAAGTGTTGATAAAGCTTGTGGACCTGGTGTGTATTACTGAGATATGGATGAACAGTGATATGGAGTGGGCCTATCAAAAATCTGGTAAGCTGAGTTTCAGATCCTACAGCGATTGTGATACCAAGGTAAGGAAAGAAGGTTTGCAGTAACTGGACTGCAGGTGTATGTGCATGAAATTGGGCTGTTCGGACAAGCTGAAGCTGCTGATGGGATACCAACTGTCTGTCTCCCTGACAGTGGCCTCCATAACCTCCTGGATCTCAGGTGCTGGCAAGAATTCCTGATAAGATTGCTCCAACTGGACCTCTTCCCAGTCATCAATCCTAATTAGTTCCTTGGTTTAATGAAGAGCTAAGGAAAATGAAGCAATTGAAAATAACCACTGCATGTACTATCAGAACATAACATTTTTCAAACATACCAAGTATGAGTCCTGTGGCATATGGAACTCTATCAACAGCAGTCTGTACTTGCTCAATAGGAGAATTTCCTTGACTTCTGAAATGAAAGAAGGGATAAAGAATAAGCCATACTAAATCATTTTTTTAAAAAAATATGGAAAGTTTAAGCAATCTTGGATTAGGATTTAATGATAAATCCTAAAGTATCAAAAATATAATTTAAAGGAATAACTTACAGAGTTGCAGAAGTGTCAAAACAGATGCTGATAAAAATTGTTTGTGCTAGTCCCAGGGCTACACTCATCAATCATTCTTGAGCAGGAAAGAAATTATAAGACAGGTAGTCCTTGCTTAACAACCATTCATTCAGCGACCATTTGCAGTTATGGTGGCACTGAACGAATGGTACTTACACCTGGTCCCCGAAGTTACAGCCATTAGTTACGCACGATGTTTTTGGAAGGCCTCAGAAGCTGCCTCACATAGGGCCAGGCTGGGCACGCCTCATCAGCAGCGGGATGATGATGGTGAAGGTCAGCTGGGGGTGACAGGGCCTGCAGAGCGCAGGGTGGCTGGGGCTTTGCGCTGTGGCACTGGGGTGGCTGGCTGCAGCATGGGGCTTGAAGTAGAGGCCCAAGAGTGGCAGTGGCGGCCAGCTTCTGAAGGCCCCAGGCTTCTACTTCAGCCCCAGTGCCACTTCCACCACCAAGGAGTGCCACTGTGCAGGGCAACCAAGAGACGGGAGGAGATAGGCAGGTGGGGGAATTCAAGAGGAGGCAGTCCCTCACCTTACCAAGGCTCAGGGGTTTGGGAGGGACCAAGCCAGGAATGGCTTGGATTGGGGTGGGTCCTCGCCTAATGACCAGTGGGATTTGGTTAATAATGGCAATGGGGACTGCTGGGATTGCCAATGCTAAGCGATGTGGTCATGTGATGTCACACTTTACAACCACATTGCTTAGCAATGGAAATTCTGGTCCCAATTACCGTCGTAATCCCAGGACTACCTGTATTAAAAAAGAAGCCATTAGTCAATCGTGTATTATTCTCTTTTTTAATTTGTCACTGATACCAATCCATATGGGAATAGCTAAATAATTGATGAAAGCATATCCATGTTTTAAGATTAGTACTTTGTAACTGCAAAACTGAACCATTATTTCAGGGGATTTAAGCATAATTTCTACACATTTTTAATTTCCACAAAAAGAGTTTATTTCAAGGGAAGAAGACAATCTTTACTGAATACAGTACTTAAGGCTGAGAAGTTAGGGAAAAGCCAAAGTGCTGGAGTTACTCGGAAGAGAAATATCTGGCACCTGTTTGCTAAGCATATTATGATGGGGGTTTATTTGGGGTCTTCACTTCTAGGGCATTCTAATGCTCTTTTTTTTTATACAAAATACTGATATTTAACATTATTCTGATTTCATGATCCTCAGATCTTGGAACAAAAAGTCTAGGTATCAGAGTGGAATAATCTCAAGGGAACATATTCTAAGATTAATATTTATTCATTTTACATTCACTCAAATATATGTATATATTTCCTTCAAAGCTTCTGGAAAACAGTACTCAATGTATAAATATGGAATTAGTATGGTGTAATAATGTTCTGAATAAAGAATGAGATAACTGAGAGCTGATAGGTATTGTACAACTACTGGCCTTAAGACAGTTATCCAGGATAGAGAGGGCTAGCTTGGGACAGTTTAACTCAGGGAGAAAAATGCTACCACCATTCACCATAAAGTACACTAATAAGGAAGGTAAACTTACCTTTGGGCATGAAAGACCCGCAATGGTTTTTTGTCATAATCGCTTTCATATCGAAACCTGGGATCCATTTCATCATTTATTTCAGGATCATGATCCTCACACTTGTGATGCCTTTGGGAACAGTTTTCAGGTTTGCTATCCAGCTTTCCTTGCTTTCGACTGGAAATGTTCAATTTTTCATCAAGTGTTTTATTCAGTAATGAGTTCCCAAATCCAGTTTCAGTATCTGGTTTATGTTGTTGGTCTAGCAATAATTTTATATTTGATAATCCTTGATAGGTATCTGTAGATGTATAAGCATCTTTCTTGCAGGATTCTTCATCTTTTTGAGAAGACGCATTTGGAGCATATAATTCTGATTGGACTCTGCTAACAGCAAAATTTTGCTTATGTATATCTGTGTCATGCTGTTAATACAAGACAAATATTTAAAGACTAAATACAACAAAATGATTTTAGTTTATTTATTTCAATTTTAAACCACATTTCAATTTTAGTTAGCCATTTTCGCAATCAATTCAAAAAGGAAGAGGAAATAATAATGGCAGCTTTAAATAACCACAATGAACTGCTCTCAATATAAGACATGCAATACAAGATACACAATGGAAGAAGTCTTATATTTGGTAATGCCATGACTTTAAAATGCCCTGTCAAGAGAGATCAGATTAGCACCCTGTATTTGTTTGGGCACCAACTTAAATTTTTTTCATTTTGCTAGCTGTTTAACCTTTTACAAGTTTAATCTGTTGGGGTGGGTTGGTACCTAGTTGAAATGGCTCTATATTTCAGGGTTTTTTCACCCACTTTTATAGCAGATATTTTATAGCTTTGAGACAGTTGATGTGTCATTTTATCAGTATACCAATTGTACAAGGTGATAGATAGCCTAGACATTTTTTAAATAAATACAGAGAGAAAAGATGATATGATGGGAAGCATCATCATTACTTTTCCTTTTCATTCACATATTTACAGACAGCAAGCAAGGTAAAAGAGGTAAAAAGAGCAAGTTTAGATGATGTCATACACACACTTCTTCCTGATAAAAATCTAGAAACAAAACAGCCAATATTACATTGCCTCAAACTATGTTAGTCCACCAATTCCTCATAAGTACACAGAAGTCTGTATTTACAAAATAATGGATTTATACTATATATAGGAACAGAAAAAAGATTATGATCAGTCTCCAATTAACCTTTCTTATAGCTTAATCATAGATATCATTTCATTGTTTCTAGCACGATAGAAAAAATCTGTGGTTTACCTCTGTTTGTTTCTTCCCTACTCTTCTTAACCTTTCATTCCATTCTTCCTTTTCCCTGAGATACTGATTGTATTCCTTGTTTCTTTCAAGTCTTAACCTGTCCTAGAACAAATATCAGAAATTGCACAAGAGCAGCAAAAGGTTTTAAACCATAGGGACATGATTTTTCTATATAAGAAGCACGATTGCAAAAAAGCTCAGTTTTCATTAGTTTCCATTTTATATGGATGATCTGTTAGCATACAAAAACACTGTGACTTTAAATGTAATTAAAATAAAGGCTTCCAAGGGTGGCTGGTGTGGGTCTTCCGGGCTGTGTGGCCGTGTTCTGGAAGTTTTGTTTCCTAAC